TTTTGAGCAACGTATTTTCTTCATGTTGTAAAAGACGAGGGAAACTTTAAAGTTATTTAAGCGAACAATTATCTTCATCTTCCATCGCCGCACCTCCTTTCGGGTCGCGGACGATTAAGATGCATATTAAAAAATATTAAATCAATAAAAATAATCTTAAACTCTGGTGTGTTTAACAGACTGAGTGTTAATTGGCCACCTAGATTACGATATCTTGGTAGTAAATCTGACAGATATGAGAGTGAACAAACAATTTAGTGTTGGAACAATTTAAAGCTCATGCTTCAGCATTCACCGATTTTCAGAACTGTGCTGCTTTGTGAAATTGGTTTGGGCCAGAATTGATGCAAATTATCGCGAAGTTGAACCCATAATCTTGTCACATCCATCGAATATAAGTACCGGAGTAAAATAAAATGTGTTGATTATTACGCAGAAAAGGGTCTAACGCTAGGCCGAAAGTTCGGTTTAAAGTGCCCCGTAGCACATTACAGATTTCGATTTTGTGAATGGTGTCATTTTGCAGAACAACGCTGGAGACGGGTGGTTATCTGCTGACAGAATCACCATAAAAGGTGGCCTTAAATTAAATCAAGTGACAACTAAGGTGACGAGGTGGGCCGAGGGAATAATAGTAATGAATGTTTCATTCTATAAAAATTTGTAATACGAAACGGATCGTTTCACTACAAATGGTTAGCCTGACATCACTAATCACGGCGGCTACAACACAGAATTGTCAGGAGAACGTTTCTGCCGCGGGCATCACTTGGAAACATGATCAGTATTTGGTGTCAACGGATCATGAGTTTAAATCAAATGAACTTGAAATGTATGACAGAAAACAGCCAAACTCCTCCGTTTCCGGTCTAAATGTCAGGTGGTAAAGAAGGAGGGATCTCGTGTTGGACATAGCCACATAGACCATTTAGTACCGGCTATGCTATAGTGCAGGTTACCAAAGGCCTCACAAGACATTGCGGAACTGAGGCAGACTGTGAAGGTCGGCGATCAAAACCTGAATCTCGCTTTTTGACACCTGTGGACGTAGCAGCACCGTGACGGCTGCCGAAGATCAACGAGAAGACGACGAAGGTGTCAATCAGCAAGGAAGCGGCTACGCCCTAGTTTTCTGTAATCTCTTTCGCGACCTCTCTGGGAAGTTCTTCATTTTGGAGCGTTTGGAAGTGCCTTAGTGCCTAAGCCTAAGCCTACCTGTTCTGAAAGCAAGAGGCAGACAGCACAATGTTCTTATAGCCGTCGGATAAAGTTCAGCGGGAACGATAATGAAAATGAAACCTAACAGCTGGAAGTTCGAACATCCACTTACTCAATTGGAAAAAGCAAGAGCTAGTGAGGAGGTCCTAAAATGCCGACAAAAGTCACTTGAATTCTTGTGAATGATGCGCCAAAAATTCCGGAATTCCACCTCTATGGGTGGAAATAATTCTTCTTGCCTGTCAACATCACGATACACGCTCAGGGCGGTGTTGGTGGTTTGGTAGAACCCGATCTGGCTAACAGATGATTGATAGCAATTTCTCAGCGGAAGAGTCTTCATAAAGAAATTATAAAAAGCTAAAGTTTAGATTTTGCTGCAGTCCTATGCGCCAAATTCATATGGCAAATATTAGTCCTTCTATGAAGTAGAAGGCGCTTCGCAAGAAGTGCAAACTACCGAAACCATTATTCTGTTGGGCAATTTCAATCTGCATGTTTGAGCAGGCCGAAAAAGGTGGGAACTCGCCAATGGAAAGAACGATCCTAGCGGCCTGAACAATAACGGCATGAAGCTGTTGCGGGTTTCTACAAACGACCGATTGTCTGTTATGAAGATCTTGTCCGAACATCGAAGCATGCCTCTGTATACTTGACACAGGGAAGAAAGCTTGATCGATTTGATAATCGTATCGTCTGAACAACAATCTTTTGTAATGTATGTTCCTGTTAAGAGAGGCGCGGAGCTGTTAACCGATCATCGCCTAACTTTTAACTCCCTCTGCTGTAAACATCAGAGTGCCATGCGAAGACCTTGCGCAGAAGCAACCAGAGAATGAAATGGAAAACATTATCTTCGGCGGACACGATTGCGTAACTTAGAAACAGCATCGTGCACGGTTTGATCAGATTGTAATGATGATCGCTTATGTGAAAACTAAATAGACTTTCTTTAAGAGCGGCTGCTTCGGGCCTGCCGCTTGGAAGTCAGAAATAATTTCGTGATGGGCACAATAGTTCAACTGGCTGTCACCCAGCAGAAGACAGAATTTTCCAGATGACCTGGAAGCTTGGACCCTCAACAATATAATGAAACTCGCAAGACAGCAGTGGAAGTAGTGATCAAGGTGAAATCTGATCCCTGGGAGTTCGGTGAGAAGAGGCGGCAGTGAGAGTTGAGAAGTTCGGTGTGATGCAGGAGTCCAATTTCGGAAGGCGTTCTGATAAATCGTCCGCTGTTTCTGAGACGGAAAGAACGGCAGTCTTAGTATTAAATGGCAAGTCTAATCGCCCATGAATCAGGCCATAATTTGGCGACGGAGGAAGCAGTTTGAGGAATTTCTTAATATCAAGTAATTGCAGTTCACTATTCAGAGGAGCAAAGAAAGCGTATATTAGTCTTTCTGTAAAAATGAACGCTACAGAATCTCTAAAAAGTTTCAAAGGCGGGAAAGTTGCTTTCTGAGGTAAAAGAACAGCAGCGCACCTCTGACCGTTTTCTCGCCTTACCCAAGATAGTTGAGTAGGAGTTCGCTCATCTTATATACACGTGCTTTGTTTCCTTGGAGAAAGAATATGATCAGAATCTTCGCAGCGATCTATGAGTGTGCCTGCAAACATAACGGATCGAAGGTCAGTTGCTATGAATCATTAATTCACTATGTTGCAACCAGCTGGGGATTGTTTCAAACAAGACGCGGGATCTGGTCACAACTTTACTTGCAAATACAAATGGCAACAACTGCCTAGATGAGATATCATAATCTCCGTATATACATGATAAACTTCCTGCTCCAATTGGTCTTTTGATATGCCTGCCGATTCTTTGTTCATCTTCGAGGACCAATCAATATTGACCTACTGACTGTACTTCCGGTGCAAGGTGAGTCTTTGTGTTGGAAGGTGCGGAGACCGAGCCATCCCTCTTCTGTTCGGCCCCAGGTGATGTACGGGGGGGCTTCCAATTGCCTTCGCTTCGTTACAGCCGGTCGTCCTTGAACGTTGCAATATACTGATAGCAGCTGCTACGTCAGCAGACTCAAATAGGGTTAAGTCGAAACGATTCACTGTTGGCACTTGTCTCTGCTAAGACTGCGTCCTGTCCCCTTTCCTGTTTGCATTGTAATGGATAGAATAGTCAGGAGCAGCTAGGAAGATGAGTGTTTCATACGAGGTGTGGGGGCGAAAAGGTTGCTGTTTGAAGACCATCTTGTTTTTGGCATCTTCTATAGCTGATCTGCAGCGCCTTCTGTGATTGTTCTGAGACAAATGCGACATGGCCGGTACACGTGTGAACGTGTTTAAAATGAAAAGCCTAGCGCTTTCTGCTTTCCGTACCCGCTGCGCTGTACAGATAAACAGAGGAGCAGCGGAACAGATAGAGAAGTTACCTCGGGATCATGTTTACTGGTGATAAAAAAATAGGAGGAAGGGATCGACGGACGGAGTGGAGTAGCGAATGGCGTTCTGCTTGAACCAGCCTGAACCACTGTGACTAAATCAGAGCTGAGTCTGAAGACTAAGCTTTCGGCATTCGGGTCGATCCTCTATCCCATGCTCTCCTACGATCATAAGTCGTGGGCATGACTAAGAAACTTAGACTTCGACTACAAGCGGTTGAAATGGACGTTCTGAAACGAATGTCATGACTCGCAAATCTAGACATGGTCCGGAATACTGATATCCGAGAGCGCTTTGATGTACAGGACGAAGATTGAAAAGTCACAGCTGCCATAGTTTAAGCACGTCTTACGTATGCTTAAAGGAAGGGAGGCGAAATAAATACTATTTGTCCATTCCACCGCCCAAAGACCCAGGAGACGGCCAAGAATAACCTGGGCAAGTA